TTTTGATTGCATCTCATTAATAGCCTTTTTGATTTCAACTTGTTTAGATTTTAGTTCTTTTATTTCTCCTGACAGGGATTTTCTCGTGTTTTCTATGCTTTTTTCAAGGTCAGCTAGTATATTTATAATCGTTATTCTGAACTCTAGTTCCAGTATCATTATCCATACTGATTAGGTCGCTGGCAGTCAGAACTTCCTCTTGTTCTTTTGAGTTGAGTTTTTCCGTCTTGTTATTTTGTCCAAAGAATAGATGAATGAGAGAACAAAATACTAAAATGTCAACAGTGACCCCAGATAAATATACACTAAGCAAATCAGAATAGCCCCAGAACCGAAAAAACAAAAAAATTTAAGAAAAAATAAAAAATAAAAAAAAATGAAAGAATATAATCAGACAGGTGAACAGAACAGGGCAATTCATTGGATCCTGTGTGTATTTTGGTCTGTTTGTTGGAAGACTAGATCCCAGAACACCTGGGTGTCTTAGTTGGTTAAGTGTCTGCCTTTGGCTCAGGTCACGATCCCAGAGTCCTGGGATCAAGTCCCCCATTGGGCTCCTTGTTCAGCGAGGATCCTGCTTCTCCTCTGCTTGCTGCTCCCCCTGCTTGTGCTCTTTCTCTCCTTCTTTTCCTCTCTCTCCCTCTCTGACAAATAAGTAAAGTCTTAAAAAAAAAAAAGTAGATCCCAAAATTGTAAAAAAAGGAAAACTTATGTATATACAAAAGTAAAATCAAATACAATGAAAGGATAGAATGTAACTGTAAAAATGAAAATTAAAAAAGACTTAAAAAAAGAGTTGACAAAATAAGAAATTGGTTGAAAAGGAAAGAGAAAAGAAATAGTAAATTTGGAAGACTAATCATGAGGAAATAAACATGAATTCTATATACTGTTTTCCCCTAGTGCTGGAGTTTTGCAGTTCTTTGTGGTTGGTAAAGTTGGTCTTATTTGGATGTTCTTTCTGATCTTCTTGGGGAGGGGGCTGTTGCACTGATTCTCAGGTGTCTTTGCCCCAGGAGGAACTGCACCACCGCGTGGCAGGGGTCAGGCTATGTAACTGGTCCCGGATTGCTCTATATGGCTTTTGTTCCCTGAAGACTTTCCACGCGGCTTTAGAGATTGAGAATGGCAATGGCGGCCTCCCAGTCTCCAGCCCTGGAGCTAAAAGCCCGTGCCCCACCCCGCCCCCACTCCTCAGTGTGCCCTTGGGGAAAAGCAGTCAATCATTCCTGTGTCCCTGGTCTCCATCTGAACTATGTGCTCACCTAGCCCATGACTGAGCATTTCTCTTCAGTCATGTGACCCTGCTTGGAGTCTCCAAAGCCTGCAGACTCCTGTGGTGCACACCCGCACTGTTCCTTCCCAGGAGGGAGGGTTGTTTGACTGCGGTTTTGCCATTTGCTGGTTCCCTGCTCAGAGAGTGGTTGCCCATCCCTTCTGCGGTTTGTGTTTTATGGCAGCACTGTTCTGAAAGCCCACTCCTGGGCTTGCTGATGGCAGCCGGCTTTCCTGCTCCGATGCCTGGGAACTCTCATGCACTCAGGTACCCCTGTTCTTTCCGTGACCCCTGGGATCCTGAGAGCACGCTGTCCCACCTAGGATTTTTCCCTGCTTGGCCACCTGAGTACCTTTCAGGCAGGGACATCCCATACCAGAGCAGACTTCTAGAAGTTCTGATTTTTCGCTCTACTACTATATTACTTTCTGGTAGCCGGCCTTCTGTGGCTCCCTACTCTCATGGTTTATCTTCCAATATGTTGCTTAGGATTCAGTTCACACCTCCTACCTTGCAGAAAGTGCTTGCTTTTCTATTTGTAGAATTGCAGCAATTCTTTTCTTAGACTGGTTCAGTTCACAGGAGTTCAGAATGATTTGATAGCTCTCTAGCTGAATTCCTGGGACCAGACAAAACTATGGTCTCCTATTCCTCCGCCATCTTGGAGTGTCTGTCCTTACGATTTTCCTAATAACATTTTGTTTTTTCTAGCCTACTTTATTATAAGAACGTTGTGTATGATACATACAACATTAAAAAATATGTATTAATTGGCTGTTTATATTATCATTAAGGCTCCTTGTCAACAGTAAGCTACTAGTAATGTGTTTTGGGGAATCAAAAGTTCTTTGTGGATTTTTTATTACCCAGGGGTTGGTGACTATCACCCCTGCATGGTTCAAAGCTCAACTGTGTTTCAAAATTGCTAAATAAAAAGGTAACTTATTTCTGTGACTGACTTGCATGGTAATTTATGGTAGCATTGGACATAAATAAGTCTGCAATATTATTATGATAATAAAACAATTCCCATTAAGTCTTGCCAACCTGAGTGGTCAAGGATTAATATTCAGGATTCATCAGGCTAGAGAGTCCCTGTGAATACCATAGGCTCTCATTTGAAAGGATCAGGGTTGCACCCTAGGAGGAGGCAAATTAGAGATATATGAAATCCTCCTCAAACTGAAATGTGGTCTTAACTGATATTAGTTCTTGTTTAGAATAAGGCGATCAGTCTCCATTTTGAGTATCTAGCAAAGGAAAGAATGAGCCCTCTTTGAAAGAAAATGTGTACAAAATTTATATATTTTCTTTGTCATTCTATACAAAATTAATCATTATATTAAAAGACAGAATCACATGGATCACTGAATTCTACTCATGAAACCAATATTGCACTGTATGTTAATTAACTAGAATTTAAATAAAAATTATAAAAAGACAGAATCATATAACTCAATATAAAGAGAACAAAAATGCCCCAGGCAATGTGAATATACCTGGCAGTGATCCAGATATTGGAGCTAGTAGGCAGTGATTTTAAAATAATGATTAATGTGTTCAAAAAAGTAGAAAAAAAGATTGAGAACTTCATTAGAGAAGCAAAATTTATAAAAAGGAATTAAAATGAAATTCTGAAACTAAAAAATACACGAATTGAATTTCAGAACTCCAGTGAATGGGTTTAATAGCAGATGAGATGCAGCAGAAGACAGGATTAATGAACTGGAAGATGATTTCCTAAAAAGTTTTGAGATAAAAACATTGAGTAGAGAAAGAATAAACAGATTTATAAAAGAGATATGTTTTGTTAAAATTTTTAACACGGGAGTTCAAAAAGAGATCATAGGGCAAAAACAAAATATTTGAAGAGAAATGCCCACGTATTATCCAAAACTTGTAAAAATAGTATGCCAACTTATAGATTCAAGAAACTATGTTAAGCCTAAACAGGATAAATGTTGAGGAAAACCAAACGTAGGAACATTGTTTTAAAACTGCTGAAAACATTAAAGATAAAATTTTTAAAGTAATCAGAGAAAAATAAGACACTTTACCTTCAAAGAAGGAGCAGTAAGACTTATGACTATCTTTTAAGGAGGAAACATCATGTACCTTAAATATAAATAGAAAAAGTGAGAAAAACCCTCCTTCTTGTTGTATGAAGCCAGCATAACCTTGAAACTAAATGTGTCAAGATTTTTATAAGAAAAGAAAAATTCAAATCAGTTGCATGAATATAGTTGCAAAAAATTTAAATATTAACAAATTGAATCTAGCAATACATAAAAATAATATAGCTAAGTGGATTTAGTACAGGAATTACAAAGTTTATCATTTGGAAGTTATGTTTTATCATTTGAAAATTATGGTTTATCATTTGAAAATTAACACATCTGATAAATGGAGAAAAATCATTTCTATTGATAATAAAATTCAGCACTAACTTATGATAGTAGTAATAAAAGAGAACTTAATTTTGATAAGGTATCTACAAAAATAACCCAACAACAAAATCATATTTAAGTTATTGTTTTCCCTCTGAAATCAGAAGAAAGAAGGGTGCTCACTCTTAACTGTTTCTATTGAACACTGTACTGAGAGTCCTAGTCAGTGCGATAGGGAAAAAAAATAGAAAATAAGGATTGGAAAGGAAGAAATAAGAATTCTCTACTGATAACATGATTATGTAACTGTATATACAGGTATCCAAACGGATATACAGACAAGTTAGTAGAATAAAGCAAATGTAGGCAAATTCTTGGATGTAAGTTCAATATACAAAAATCAAGTGTAGGGCGCCTGGGTGGCTCAGTTGGTTAAGTGACTGCCTTCGGCTCAGGTCATGATCCTGGAGTCCCGGGATCGAGTCCCACATCGGGCTCCCTGCTCAGCGGGGAGTCTGCTTCTCCCTCTGACCCTCTCCCCTCTCATGCTCTCTCTCTTGCTCTCAAATAAATAAAATCTTTAAAAAAAAAAAAAAATCAAGTGTATTTTTATATACCAGCTGTAATCAAATAGTGTTATTTATTGAAAGATCCCACAGATAATAGCATCAAAAAGCATTAGCTATCCAGGAATAAATTTAAAAGAAAGATGTATATAACACATACACTGAAAAGTACAAAACATTATTAAAAGAAAATAAATAAGACCTAAATAATTTGAAGGCTATGTTATGTTCATAGATATGAAGACTCAGTATTTGTAAACATGTCAGTTCTTCCCAAATTTATATATTTAATCCAATTTCAATAATTCATTACACTGCATACTTAATGATTTGTACACTTTCATGTACATACATAAAAAGTTCGATTAAAAGACATTTCCCATTAAAACATATACTTGTAAGATCTCAGGAGACTTGCAAATTTTTTATGGACTGAAGTAAACTTAGATACTATTAGTACTTTAGGGACAAATGATTTTAGCTATGATTTTTTTTTAATTAAATTTTTTATTTTTTTATTGAAGTATAATTGACATACAATATCCTATTAGTTTCAGGTGTATATCATAGTGATTCACTATTTTTATACATTTCAAAATGATTTCCATGATAAGTCTATTTACCATAAGCGATGATCTTCTTTAATTATGAATGCTACCTCTGTTTTGTTACATTATTTGGTTATACAGACTAGATAAGGTCTTTACAAAATCTTTAGTATGAAATCAGCTTAAGTTTTATATTGAAATATTTAATGTTTTCTCATTTTAGTTAAATGAAGTAAGTGAAGAAAACAAGAAGATGGAGATTCAGGCTAAGAGAGTTCAAGCTCGTTTAGATAATTTACAGGTAAGTTGTCTGCTCTTTTGACACAAGGGATTTTTTTTTTTTAAAGATTTTATTTATTTATTAGAGAGAACACAAGAGAGGGAACACAAGCAGAGGGAGTGGGAGAGGGAGAAGCAGGCCTCCCGCTGAGCAGGGAGCCCGATGTAGGACTGGATCCCAGGACCCTGGGAACATGACCTGAGCTGAAGGCAGATGCCTAATGACTGAGCCACCCAGGCGCCATGACACAAGTGAATTTTAAATGATTGCCTTTGGATTTTCCCACCTTTAATGCAATTGTATTTTAATTCATGGATATGTACTGTTGCAGAGGAAGTATGAGTTTATGACAATACAGAGATTGAAAGGAAATTCGCATGCTGCTAATGAAATGAAAAGTTTAAAACAAGATAAAGTACCAGTCTCAAAAACTCACAAGGTATGATATGATTGAAAATTTCTCCAATAGAAAATAAAGACATTTTCTCTTTGTTCTTTTTTTTTTTTTTTTTTAAAGATTTTATTTATTTGACAGAGAGAGACACAGTGAGAGAGGGACCACAAGCAGGGGGAGTGGGAGAGGGAGAAGCAGGCTTCCCGCGGAGCAGGGAGCCCGATGCGGGGCTCGATCCTAGGACTCTGGGATCACGACCTGAGCCGAAGGCAGACGCTTAACGACTGAGCCACCCAGGCGCCCCTTCTCTTTGTTCTTGAATCTGTTTTTGGGAAATGTCATTTTGGTATAAAAGTATTCACCATAATAATTCCTTTACAGAGAAATATCTGTATAATATCTCTAATATGCTTTTATTTACAAAAGCAAAACAAAATATTTCAGCAGTGTTTCAGGCACAGACCTTAAGCTTAATAAGAGCTTTATTATTCATTGTGTTTTAAGATTCCACAAGCTTTCAGTGTTTTCTGTCAAGACTGCAATCCATGCCTGAAAGGGCTTTATTTATTTTTTTTTTCCTAAGGAATTTTTTACTTTGAGGTATAAATTACATACAGTAATATAATGCAGAGATCGTTAAGTATAAAGCTTAGTCAGTTTTGACAAATGCCTATACTCATGTAACCTGCAACTAGATATAGAACATTTCCATCATCCTAGAAAGTTCCCTTAAGTCCCTTCTCAGTTCGTCCCTGCAAGAAGTAGCTGTTAATCTGATTTCTATCACCATGAATTAATTTTGCCTATTTTAGAACTTCAGTCAGTGGGGTTGTATAGTATGCTCTCATCTGGGTAAGGCTTATTTTGCTTATCATAACACTGGGTGTATCAATAGTTTGTTCCTCTGTATTGCTCAGTAGTATTCTACTGTATGAATATATCACAATTTGTTTATCCATTCTTCTTTTAATAGACACTTGGGCGATTTCTACTTTTTGTCTATTATGAATAAAGCTGCTAAGAATGTTTGTGTACAAGGCTTTTAGTGGACAGATGTTTTCATTCCCCTTGGAAATACAAGCAAGACTGGAATTTCTGGGTCATAGATATTTGACTTTTTGTGAAACTGCCAGTTTTCCGAAGCATTTATACCATTTTATACTCCTACTAGCAATGTTTGAATGTTGTGGTTACTCCAGACTATGCCAGCATTTGGTGTTTTCACACTTTTTCATTTTGACCTTTTCAGTGGGTGGCTAGTGATATTTCACTGTGGGCTGTTAATAATTTTGATAAATCCTCTCGTTCTTTTCATAAAGTGGGAATACAACATCATTTAAAGATAGCTGTGGAGGAATCTCAGTTACAAAATCAGAAGCCACCAATGGGCAGTGTGAATCTGAAGGTGTTAACTGTCTGGCTGGCCTGTGATGAAGATATGGCTCAGCAGGACCAAATTCAACAAAAGATTGCTGTGCAGAGAATATACAGGGAATAATCTCAGTCGTTTGGTATCGGTTGAGACCTGATTCGTGATCACGTATGTGGTCTATTCTGGAGAAAGTTCCGTGTGTGCTCAAGAAGAATGAGTATTCTGTTGTTTTAGGGTGGAATGTTCTGTATATATCTATGAGGTCCATCTGGTCCAGTGTGTCATTCAAAGCTCTTGTTTCTTTGTTGATTTTCTGCTTAGATGATCTGTCTATTGCTGAGAGTGGAGTATTGAGGTCTCCTACAATTAACGTATTATTATCAATATGACTCTTTATTTTGGTTAACAGGTGGCTTATATAGATGGCTGCTCCCAGGTTGGGGGCGTAGATATTTACAATTGTTAGATCTTCTTTTTGGATAGACCTTTTAAGAATGATATAGTGTCCTGTGTCTCTAACTACATCCTTTAGCTTAAAATCTAATTTGTCTGATAAAAGAATTGCTACCCCAGCTTTCTTTTGAGGTCCATTGGCATGGAAGATGGATCGCCATCCCTTCACTTTGAGTCTGGATGTATCTTTAGGTTCAGAATGAGTCTCTTGTAGACAGCATATGGATGGATCCTGTCTTTTAATCTAGTCTGCAACCCTGTGCCGTTTTATGGGAGCATTTAGGCCGTTCACGTTGAGAGATTATTGAAAGATATGAATTTATTGTCATCCTGTTGCCTGTGAAGTCCTTGTTTCTATAGATTGTCTCTGTAAATTTCTGTGCTATATCACTCTTGGGGTCTTTCTCCTTTTATAGAACCCCCCCCTTAATATTTCTTGCAGGGCCAGCTTAGTGGTTACATATTCTTTCAGTTTCTGCCGGTCTTGGAACCTCTACATCTCTCCATCCATTCTAAATGACAGCTTTGCCTGATAAAGTATTCTTGGCTACATGTTCTTCTCGTTTAGTACCCTGAATATGTCTTGCCAGGCCTTTCTGGCTTGCCAGGTCTCTGTGGATAGGTCTGACGTTATTCTGATGTTCCTCCCTCTGTACGTAAGGAATCTCTTCCCCCTAACTGCCCTTAAGATGGTTTCCTTGGTTCTAAGATTTGCGAGTTTTACTCTTACATGCCGGGATGTTGGCCTGTTTTCCTTGTTCTTGGGAGGGGTCCTCTCTGCCTCTAGGACACAAATGTTTGTTTCATTCCCCAGATTAGGGAAGTTCTCTGCTACGATTTGCTCAAATATATCTTCTAGTCCTTTCTTTCTCCACCCCCTGAGGGATCCCAAAAATTCTGACATTGGAACATTTCATGGTGTCACTTATTTCTCTGATTCTATTTTCATGGATTCTGAGTTATTTTTCCCTGGCCTCCTCTTTTTCCTTCTTGTCTATTAATTGGTCTTCTAGATCACTGATCTGTTCTTCTGCCTCACTTACCCTAGCGGTTAGATTATCTAGATTAGATTGGATCTTGATAGCACTTTTAAATTCTGCCAATTCAGCTTTCATTTCTGCCCTTAGAGACTCTTACGTTGCCATTAATTGATTTCTCCACTCTAGCTATTGTCTTTACAATTGCTAGCCTGAATTCCATCTCCGACATCTTGGTTATATCTGTATCCATTTGTAAATCTGTGGCATAAATCATAATCTCTGAGTCTTTCCTATTTTGGGGTTCCTCCTCCTAGTCATTCTGTTGATGGGTGGTTGAGGGAATGTATAGAGTCCAAATTATTGACCATAACCCAAGCAAAATCCACCTGTTTTATAGGGACGTTAGGGTTGCTGGCCACTTGTTCGCCCAGCCTGCCTTCTGGGGGAGGGGCCTGCCGCACTGTTACTCAGGGATCCCTGTTTGGGCAGAGTTGCCCTGCCCCCTGTGGTGGGGGATGGGCTCAGTGAAAACCGGTCTTTTTTGGGCTTTTGTTCTCTGGTGGCTTCCCTGGTGGCTTTCTGCATCTCTTCTGAGAGTCAGACCAGAAGAGATCATTTCCAACCCTCTGCCTCAGAACGGAGAGATCATAGTCTGTTCTTCAATGAGCTCTCCAGGCCACACTATCTCCGTTTCTGTCTGTGCTGCTTTAAACTTCAGGTGCTGGGTTGTGTGCCCCTCAGCAGCGCTCCCAGTCCTTGCTTCAGATCGGGGCATGTCTCTGCCCTTTGTGCTTCTAAAACCGCTAGCTGCCCCCAGTTCACGTGTGGGACCCCGCTGGTTTCAGTCCAGGGGGCTCCCTAAAGTCCTTTCCCCGCCGCTACCGGTCTGTGAGTCTGTGCCCTGTCCCCAACGTGGGAGGCTATCGCTCACCGGCAGTGTAGGATCCCGACAGCTCGGCTCCCTCCCCCATCCGTTTATCCTCTGATATCTTCCCACAGAATCACAGCTCCCCGCTTCGTACCTTGAAACCAAACGCCTGTGATATTCTGTTTATAGAGATCCAGATCTATCTTTGTACATCTCAGGCTGATTTCGTGGGTGTTCAGATGGTCCAGTAGATATCCAGCTCAATTCCAGGGACTGGTTGGAATAGGGTCCCCTACTCCTCAGACCATAAAAGACCATAATGCTTTTAAACTGGAACTCAATCACAAGAAAAAATTTGGCAGAAATTCAAACACTTGGAAGCTAAAGACCACTCTGCTCAAGAATGTTTGGGTCAACCAGGAAATCAAAGAAGAACTTAAACAATTCATGGAAACCAATGAGAGTGAAAGCACGTCAGTCCAAAACCTATGGGATACTGCAAAGGCAGGTCCTAAGGGGGAAATACATAGCCATCCAAGCCTCACTCAAAAAAGTAGAAAAATTCCAAATTAACCAACTAACTCTACACTTTAAAGAACTAGAGAAAAAGCAACAAACGATGCCTGAGCCACACAGTAGAAGAGAAATAATTAAAATTAGAGCAGAGATCAATGAATTAGAAATCAGAAACACAGTAGATCAGATCAACGAAAGTAGAAGCTGGTTCTTTGAAAGAATTAATAAGGTTGATAAGCCACTGGCCAGACTTATCCAAAAGAAAAGAGAAAGGACCCAAATTAATAAAATTATGAATGAAGGGGGAGATATCACGACTAACACCAAAGAAATAGAAACAATTAATAGAACTTATTATCAACAACTATATGCCAATAAATTAAGCAACCTGGGAGATATGGATGCCTTCCTGGAAATCTATAAACTCCCAAAACTGATAACATGAAGAAATTGACAACCTGAATAGGCCAATAACCAGTAACGAGATTGAAGCAGTGATCAAAAACCTCCCAAAAAACAAGAGTCCAGGGCTTGATGGATTCCCTGGGGAATTCTACCAAACGTTCAAATAAGAAATAATACCTATTCTCCTGAAGCTGTTTCAAAAAATAGAAACAGAAGGAAAGCTTCCAGACTCATTCTGTGAGGCCAGCATTATCTTAATCCCCAAACCAGGCAAAGACCCCAACAAAAAGAATTTCAGACCGATATCCCTGATGAATATGGATTCCAAAATGCTCAACAAAATCCTAGCTAATAGGATCCAACAATACATTAAAAGGATCATCCACCACAACCAAATGGGATTTATCCCCGGAATGCAAGGGTGGTTCAACATTCCCAAATCAATCAGTGTGATAGAACACATTAATAAGAGGAGAGAGAAGAACCATATGGTCCTCTCAATTGATGCAGACAAAGCATTTGACAAAATACAGCATCCTTTCCTGATTAAAACTCTTCAGAGTATAGGGATAGAGGGAACATTCCTCCAGTTCACAAAATCCATCTATGAAAAACCCACAGCGACTATCATCCTCAGTGGGGAAAAGCTTTTCCCTTAAGATCAGGAACATGACAAGGATGCCCACTCTTGCCATTGTTGTTCAGCATAGTACTAATAATCCTAGCAACAGCAATCAGAAAACAAAAAGAAATAAAAGGTATTCAAATTGGCAAAGGAGAAGTCAAACTCTCTCTCTTCACAGATGACATGATACTTTATGTGGAAAATCCAAAAGACTCCACCCCCAAATTACTAGAACTCATACAGCAATTCAGTTATGTGGCAGGATACAAAATCAATGCACAGAAATCAGTTGCTTTCTTATACACTAACAATGCAACTGTAGAAAGAGAAATTAGAGAAACTATTCCATTTACTATAGCACCAAAAACCATAAGATAACCTTGGAATGAACGTAACCAAAGAGGTAAAGGATCTATACTCTAGGAACTACAGAACACTCATGAAAGAAATTGAATAAGACACAAAGAGATGGAAAAACATTCCATGCTCATGGATTGGAAGAATTAACATTGTTAAAATGTCTATGCTACCCAGAGCAATCTGTACCTTCAACACCATCCCGATCCAAATTCCAATGACATTTTTCAAAGTGCTGGAACAAACAATTCTAAAATTTGTATGGAATCAGAAAAGACCCCAAATCGCCAAGGAAATGTTGAAAAAGAAAAACAAAGCTGGGGGCATCACGTTGCCCAATTTCAAGCTATATTACAAAGCAGTGATCACCAACACAGCATGGTACTGGCACATAAAGAGACATATAGACCAGTGGAACAGAATAGAGAGCCCAGACATGGACCCTCAACTCTATGGTCAAATAATCTTTGACAAAGCAGGAAAAAATATGCAAGGGAAGAAAAACAGTCTCTTCAATAAATGGTGGTGGGAAAGTTGGACGGCTATATACAGAAGAAAGAAACTCGACCATTCTCTAACACCATGAACAAAATGGATGAAAGACCTCAATGTGAGACAGGAATCCATCAAAATCCTAGAGGAAAACATAGGCAGTAACCTCTTTGACATCGCCCACAGCAACTTCTTTTAAGATACATCTCCAAAAGCAAGTGAAACAAAAGCAAAAATGAACTTTTGAGACTTCATCAAGATAAAAAGCTTCTGCAGAGCAAAGGAAACAGTCAATAAAACAAAGAGGCAACCCACAGAACGGGAGAAGATATTTGCAAATGACACTACAGATAAAGGGCTGGTATCCAAGATCTATAAAGAACTTCTCAAACTCACCACCCAAAAAAACAAGTCAAAAAATGGGTTTTCTATTTAAAAGAACACATTAAAATTACTCCTGTGCAGAACAGTCCTAAAATTTGTATGGAACCAGAAAACCTGAATGGCCAAAGGAATGTGGAAAAAGAAAACCAAAGCTGGAGGCATCACAATTCCAGACTGCAAGCTGTATTACAAAGGTGTAATCATCAAGACAGTATGGTACTGGCATAAAAACAGACACATAGATCAGTGGAACAGAATAGAGAACCCAGAAATGGACCCTCAACTCTATGGTCAGCTTATCATCACAAAACAGGAAAGAATATCCAGTGAAGAAAAGACAGTCTCTTCAACAAATGGTGTTGGGAAAATTGGACAGCCACTTGCAGAAGAATGAAACTGCCCCACTTTCTTACACCATACACAAAAATAAACTCAAAATGGATGAAAGACCTAAATGTGAGATAGGAATCCATCAAAATCCTAGAGGAGAACACAGGGAGTAACCTCTTTGACCTTTGCTGCAGCAACTTCTTGCTACACACGTCTCCAAAGGCAAGAGAATGAAAATCAAAAATGAGCTATTGGGACTTTATCAAGATAAAAAGCTTCTCCACAGCAAAGGAAACAGTCAACAAAACTAAAAGTCAGTCTACGGAATGGGAGAAGATATTTGCAAATGGCATATCAGATAAAGGGCTGGTGTCTAAAATCTATAAAGAACTTACGAATTTTAACACCCAAAACACAAATAATCCAGTCAAGAAATGGGCAGAAGAGGGGTGCCTGGGTGGCTCAGTCGTTAAGCATCTGCCTTCGGCTCAGGTCATGATCCCAGGGTCCTGGGATTGAGCCCCACATCGGGCTCCCTGCTCCGCGGGAAGCCTGCTTCTCTCTCTCCCACTCCCCCTGCTTGTGTTCCCTCTCTCGCTGTGTCTCTCTCTGTCAAATAAATAAAATCTTAAAAAAAAAGAAATGGGCAGAAGACATGAACTGATATTTCTCCAAAGATGACATAGAAATGGCCATCGGACACATGAAAAAATGGCTCAACATTACTCGGCATCAGGGAAATACAAATCAAAACCACAATGAAATACAACCTCACGCCAATCAGGATGGCTAAAATGAACAAGTCAGGAAACAATGGATGTTGGTGAGGATGCAGAGAAAGGGGAACCCTCTTGCACTATTGGTGGGAATGCAAGCTGGTGCAGCCACTCTGGAAAACAGTATGGAGGTTCCTCATAAAGTTAAAAATAGAGCTACCCTACGACCCAGCAGTTGCACTGTTAGGTATTTATCTAAAGGATGAAAAATTAGTGATATCATGCACCCCAATGTTTATAGCAGCAATGTCCACAAAGCCAAACTAGGGAAAGAGTCTAGATGTCCATCAATAGATGAATGGATAAAGAAGATGTGGTATATATGGTGTGCGTGTATATATGTATATACACACAATGGAATATTACTCAGACATCAAAAAGAATGAAATTTTGCCTTGTGCAATTATGTGGATGGAACTAGAGGGTAGTGTGCTAAGCAAAATAAGTCAAGTCGGAGGAAGACAAACACCATACGCTTTCACTCATAGGTGGAATTTAAAAGACAAAACAGATATAGGTGAAGGGAAGGAAAGTAAAATAAGAAAACAGAGGGAGGCAAACCATAAAAGACTCGTAACTATAGAGAACAAACTGAGGGTTGCTGGAGAGGAGGTGGGTGGTGGGTTGGGGTGACTGGGTGATAGGCATTAAGGAGGGCACTTGAAGTAACTGGGTGTATACAACTAGGTCATGTAAACAACTGATGAATCACTGAATTCTACCTCTGAAACTAATAATATAGTATATATTCATTAAATTGAATTTAAATTATAAATTTAAAAAATTATCCTTTGTTCAGAATAATGCAACTGTGTTTTTAATCATCTGATTGTGATTTTGTGGATTGCTGTCTGCTTAATGTTACCTTTTTGTTTATTTGCTTTTATAGTTCTGTCTTTTCAGATTTTTTAGAAACTAAGTCTAGCATAGTTCCCGGTTTAAGATAGATGTGTGATAAATGTAGAATGAAATTGACTAAAAGTTATTTGAAGGAATACTAAAATCAGTGCAATTGAATTTATACATTTTTATGGCATTTTTTCTTATTCTTCACCTCCCATTTTTTGATAGACTCTGTGAGAACAGGATTTCTGGGAAAAGTTTCATATTCTGCTTATAAAATGTTATAAAGAGAAAGAAACAACTTTTTTTGGGAAGAAGAAAATACGAAGTTCCAATGTAGAAATTGTTTAACTTTCTAAACCTTTAAACTTGTTAAAATCTTTTAGTTATGGTGGTTTATGCTCCTGAGTTAAGGCCAATTTTACTTTTCTATGTTATCAAACTTGGATAAAAAATTTTTATGAAAATTCTTTTTTTTTTTGGTAATAAGGCTCAGTTCTTTGAATTTCCTCTTTTTTTTTTAATTTTATTTTTTTGTTAGGTAGAGCACAAGCAGGGGGAGTGGCAGACAGAGGGAGAAGCAGGCTCTCCGCTGAGCCGGGAGCCCAGTGTGGGGCTTGATCCCAAGACCCTGGGATCATGACCTGAGCTGAAGGCAGATGCTTAATGGACTCAGCCACCCAAACATCCCTCAGTTTCCTTTTTTTTTTTTTTTTTTAAGTAGCCTCCACACTCTGGATGGAGTGCAGTGTGGGGCTTGAACTCACGAATCTGAGGATCAAGACCTGAGATGATATCAAGAGTCAGATGCCTAACCGACTGAGCCACCCAGTCATTCCTCAATTTCCTTCTTAAGATGGGTTTTCTCTCCTTCTCTTAGCCATCATTTAACATGTTTCTTATGTTAATTGGTGATGTTTGACTTGAAATTTCCTTTGGGGAAGCTTTTTCATTCAGTACGTATTTTAGTGACCTTTAGGTAAATTATTCTATAATCCCCCAATTTAAAGCTTGCTCTTGAAATTTTATGAGACTGTGAACGGAAATAAATGATTTAATTTTTTATCTATAGGTACCACTTAATGCACAAGTATATGAACTTTTAACTGTCTTCATGGACTGGATTTCAGATCATCACCTTAGTAAAATAAAAAGTGAAGAATCTGGAATGGATGGTGAAAAGCCGCTACTCAAATTTGCTTCTCAGAGAAATGATATTCAGGGGAAGTGTATAAAGGTTTGTTTTTTGGTTTGATATATATGACTCATGAAGGTTAAAACTGGAAAGCCTGTGGTATGTGTTACAAGAGAAAAAAAGACTGAAACTATTTTTGATAGAAAATTGACCATACCAATAGTTCTAAAAAGATTCATTCCCGACTTAATTAAAATTAATTCATACTTTTACTTTTCTTAACATAATGGGAATTTCTTTTTAAAAATAGAGACTACAAATTAAGAACTTACTCTAAAAATGGCAAAATTTTATACTAGTTACGTAAATGATCAGTGATATGAATAAGTCCTGAAAACACATCATTTTGGATTCAAATTCCACTAAAATAATTTTTTTTTGTCATGAAGGGATAAAAAGTCTATTTGTAAGGGGCTTCTCATTAACAAAAATAAGTGACCATTTTCTTGTTACAGACATTAATTTGGATATTGGTATTCATGATTTCTAGTTAGTATATGTGGTCATTAGAGGTTGACAATTACATTCTATAAGAAATATATTTAAAACTTTGAAGAGTAGACATTTAAAGTTGTTTGGTTTAATGTTTTCAGAAGTAATTTCATAATTGTTGAATATTGGCCAGGGTTCCATTTTAGAAAATTATTTCCAGTTTTCATCCTTACCTAAAATATTTCTTCTGAATGCCTTTTCTGCTTGGCAGAATAATGGCCTTCCAGATGTTCATATCCTAATGCCGGTATGTTATGTTCCGTGGTAGAAGTGACCTTCCACTAGAGATTGACCGGGATTGTCTGGGTGGGCCCAGTAATCCTGTGAGCTTTTAACCAGACAGAGGAGCAGAAAAGCAGGTCAGAGACTCAGCCCATGCTTGCTGGCTTTGAAGATGGAGAAAAAGGTCCATAAGCCAAGTCATGCTTCTAGAAATTACTTTAGTTTTAGTTATATTTAAGTCTTTGCTTCATTTTTAGTTTTCAGTTTTTTGTCTCTGGTACAGGGTGTAAGGGTCTAACTTCATTTTTCACATGTGGATATCCGGTTTTCCCAGCACCATTTTTTGAAGAGACCATCTTTTTCCCCATTGAGTGATACTGGCACCCTTGAGAAACATCATTTCACCATGTATGTGAGGTCTTATTTCTGGGCTTTCTATCCCATTGGTCTATATACCTCTCTTTATGCAAATACCATAATATTTTAAATACGGTAGCTTTGTAGCAAGTTTGAAATCAGGAAGTGTGAGACCTTCAACTTTGTTCGTTTTCAAGATTTTTTTTTTTTGTCCATTCACTGTGCCTGTAGATTCTATAGTAGTATTCTATGTTATATAAAAGTTTTATATTTTTATGTAGTTAAACTCATATCCTTTCTTTTATTTCTACCACTGCATCAGTGTTAAAATAGACTTCTCTTGCCCCAATATTTGGAAATCTTTAACTTTGTATTTTTTGTTTCCAGGCTTTTTATTTTTTCATGGTTAACTTCAAAATATTTAATTCATCTATGATATATTTTGATGTAAAGAATACAGTAGAGATACACTTTCATTTTTTAAATAGTAAACAAGTTGTCCTTGTGGAGTAACTCCTATTTTATCCATTGATTTGAAATGTATGTGAAATATATATTGTATATGAAATGTATTTATGAGGTGGGGTCTATTTTTATAGTCACTACTCTGTTCCATTGATCTGTATGTTCTTGTACTACTACTGCAGTGTTCTGATTAATTCAGACTTTAATATATGATTATACACAGCCAGGAATTTTCTGTTACTCTTACAAGAAGTTTTTAATTATCTGAAATACTCATTTTAATATAATTTTTAAAGGCTTTTTATGTTTTATTGTTACTACACTTAATTTCTGGATTGATTAAGAATTGATATCTTTATAATAAGTTTTCCCATCCTTCCTTTTATATAATTAGTTTTTTATGTTCTTAAATGAAGTTTATAATTTTATGCATGTGTATTTTGCATGTTTCTTTTTTCATTTATTTTACTAGTTTTGGAAATTTTTTTGGTATTATGAATATGATTTTTTTCCATTCTCTAAAATTGGATATTTGATAGTATTTGGAAGATTTTTATATTTTTAGCAACTGGACAGAAATCATTAGTTCTGATAATTAAAAAAAATGTTTTTCTTGTGTTTTCTAGTTAAGTGATCACATTATTTAGAATTAATGAGAATATTGTCTGCTGAAATGTTAAATATTTTATTCCATTTGCTCATCAATTTCGCAAGTTGATATATATAAAAGACAGGATTTTTTTGTTTGTTTTACATAGTCCTTCCAGAATAAGGTAAATAATAGAGGTGATAGTAGATAGCATCCCTGTCTTGGCCTGCCTCTAATAGCTCCACTTTTGAAGGGTTTCACAATAAAATATGATTGGCTTTTTAAAAATCAGGGTTTTTTCTTATACAAAATTAGACTCTAGGTAATAGTTCTCTATGTTCCTTTCTTTTTTTTTTTTAAGATTTTATTTATTTATTTGACAGAGACACAGCGAGAGAGGGAACACAAGCAGGGGGAGTGGGAGAGGGAGAAGCAGGCTTCCCGCTGAGCAGGGAGCCCGATGCGGGGCTCGATCCCAGGACCCTGGGATCATGACCTGAGCCGAAGGCAGACGCTTAACGACTGAGCCACCCAGACGCCCCTGTTCCTTTCGTTTTTTTCCTCTTTGTACTAAGCTGGAAGATTCTCAGAGACAGGGGATATTATCTTAACTCCCTCTCCATGACCTCAGTTTTCCTTTGTAGGTTTTAGGAGCTCAAATAACTTTTCTGTGAATTGAACATTTACGGGAGATATCTGAAAATTCTTTCTTGTGTATAGAAAACTCTTTTTTGTGTTAAAATAGATTATATAGGTGCTCATATTTTTAAAGTATAACTAACATACAATGTTATTAGTTTTAGGTGTGCAGCATATTGACTAAACAGTTCTATACATTACTCAGGCTCACCATTTAGTGTAGTCACCCTCTGTCACCATATTTTATTACAATATTATTGACTATATTCCCTAAACTGTGTTTTCATCTCTGTGAGTTACTTATTTTCTAACTGAAAGTTTATACTACTTAATCACTTTTATTTATTTCATCTATTCCCCAACCCGCCTCCTTTCTGGCAATCACCAGTTTGTTGTCTGTATATAAGGGTCTGTCCATTCGTTCATTCGTTTATTCCTTTATTAGTTTATTTTTGGGATTCCACATACAAATGAAATCATAAAAAAGAAATGGACACCTCAGGGTCCATCCATGTTGCTGCAAATAGCAAGATCTCATTCTTTTTTATGGCTGGGTAATATTCCATTGTATATTAACATAACCATATGTTGTTCTTTATTCATTCCTCTTTCGATGGGCACTTGGGTTTCTTCCATATCTTGGCTATGATAGATAATGCTGCAGTAAACACAGGGTGCACCTATCTTTTGAGTGTGTGCTTTATTTTCTTTGGGAAACACCTAGTAGTGGAATTATTGGATCATATGGTAATTCTATTTTTGAGTTTTTGAGGAACCTCCATACTGTTTTCCATAGTGGCTGTACATCCCTGTCAACAGTATATGAAGTTTCCCTCTTCTTCACACCTTGCCAACACTTATTTCTTGTCTTTGATAATAGCCATCCTACCAGGTATGAGGTTATACCTTATTGTGGTTTTAATTTGCATTTCCCTGATGATTAATGAAGTAGAGCATTTTTTCATCAGTTGGCCTGTTGTCTTCTGTTGGCCATCAGTATGTCTTCTTTGGAAAAATATCTGTTGAAGTTCACTTCCCATTTTAATCAGATTATTTGGGTTTTTTTGGTGTTGGGTTATGTAAGTTCTACGTATATTGTGGATATTAACCCTTTATCAGATATATCATTTAAACATATCTTCTTCCTTTCATTAGGTTGCCTTTTGTTTTGTGGATGGTTTCCTTTGTTATACAAAAGCTTTTTATTTTGGTGTAGTCCCAATAGTTTATTTTTGCTTTTGCTGCCCTTGCCTGAGGAGACATATCTAGATAAATGTTGCTAAGGCTGATGTCCAAGGGAGTATTGCCTTTGTTTTCTTCTAGGAATTTTATGATTTCAGGTCTTCAATTTCACATTTAGGTCTTTGATCCATTTTGAGTTAATTTTTGCATATGGTGTAAGGATGTGGTCCAGTTTCATTCTTTTGCATGTAGCTGTCCAGTTTTCCCAACACCATTAATTGAAAAGACTGTCTTTTCCCCATTGTATATTCTTTCCTCCTTTTTTATAGATTAGTTGATCACATAAGCATGGGTTCTGGGCTCTCTAGTCTGTTGAATTGATCTATGTGTCTATTTTTGTGGCTCTATCATATGGTTTTGATTACTACAACTTCATAGTATATCTTGAAATCTGGGTTTGTGATACCTTCAGTTTTGTTCTTTCTCAAGATTGTTTTTGCTATTTGGAGTCTTTTGTGGTTCCATACAAATTTTAGGATTATTTGTTCTAGTTCTGTGAAAAGTGCTGTTGGTATTTTGATAGGGATTGCATTAAATGTTTAGATTGCTTTGGGTTGTATGGACATTTTAACAATATTTAATTCTAACAGTAAATGAGCACAGAATATCTTTCCATTTGTGTAGTCTTCAGTTTCTTTCATCTTGTTTTATAATTTTCAGAGTACAGGTCTCTAACCTCCTTGGTTAAGTTTATTCCTAGGTATTTTTTCTTTTTGGTTCAATTTTAAATGGGATTATTTTCTTAATCTCTCTTTCCACTTCTTCATTATTAGTTTATAGAAATGCAGCTGATTTCTATATATTAATTTTGTATCCTGCCACTTTACTGAATTCATTTATCAGTTGTAATAGGTTTTGATGGAACCTTTAGTGGCAGTTTAATTTCTTCCTGACCAATTTGGATGCCTTCTGTTTCTTGTTTGATTATTGCAAGTAGCATTTCTAGTACTATGTTGAATAAAAGTGGTGAGAGTACATCCTATTTTTGTTCCTGATCTTAAAGGAAAGGCTTTCAGTTTTTCACATTGAGCATGTT